GCTGTGTGTTTCGTTGTGAAAGCGAAACTACTTTGTTTGGTCTTCCAAAAGAGGACACGACTAGATTTAGATTCATGGTTTTATGTTTACGCGGCGCGATGCAATGCAACGCGTAAAAAGACAGTATAAGTCATTATAATCCGTAATTTATGTAACATATATAACTATGTCCCCACTGGATGCAACAAATGCCTCGTTTATAATGGGTTTTAATGTTTTTGTCTCGTCGCTCCGGCCAGACAGGGCATCACAGTATGGTAGGGGCATAACATTTCCGTCTCACGCTTGAGGTATTCAGCCAATCACAACGCACTGGATAGCTGGCCAATCAGAGCACACCTCGCTTTTCAGAACGATGAGCTTTGTAAAAATCGACGCGTTTCAGAAAGGCGGGGCATAGAGGAGAAACAATAATGTACAGTATGTGGAAAATAATGTGTTTTTTGAACCTTAAACCGCATAAACACATTTCATTACACCAAATACACAAAATAAATGTTATTTTTAGCAACATCATATGACCCCTTTAAAGATTTCTACTTGACTTTTTATTTCACCTGAGGTTACTGATTTATTTTTTGAGGTACACTATTTAAGCACAGCTCTACTTCAGAATGCTAGATTTGTTTGGTGACATTAGTCCTATTTTTAATCTAGTCACAGTAGTCAATATTGTCGTCAGTTGGTGCTGTGTGTAAAATTAAAGCATAGTAGCAGTGATCAACTGATTTCTAATCTAAAGTTTACTGTGTAAATCTGATTCACAGCAGAGAAATCTGAGATAAGCATCACGTGTTAGCCTTTGAACTTCCGACTACAGTATGCATAAATTACAACTGTAGAGCAAAGACTGTCAGAGCAGCCCTCAAAAGGTGACCTTGTTCAGTGAGCCTTAACAATTGAAAGGTTAATTGCTAAACTGGATTACAACTTCTCAAGAACAGAGATTCCCAATCACGTCCAAGAGGGGCCTATAGTGGTCACCAGCACTTCAAAGACAGTTTCTATTAATGATTTATACGCAGCCATTACAAAAAGACTTTATCACAAATGTAACCTACATAGACTTATATGTAACTATTTTTATAATGTAAACCTGCAATAATGCTTGACACACTTTTTGTGAAAACTATTCATCTTTGACCTTTACGGTGAATTCCGGAACCAGTTATGACTGAGTTTTAAACGAGACAAGAAACCCCCACTAAACTGTAACCTTGTCTTTCATTATCAGTGATTTAAAAATGTATAAATGCTGACTGAAAAATAAAAGCTAGCTAACCATTATGTATTTCTCAGTTTTTGCTAGAATATTACAAATACTCATTTGCAAAAACTGTCTGAAGCAAAAACTTTAGAGACTCACTGATTAGTTTATTTACGTGAATGCTAGTGAATTGTGCATTCACTAGTGTGCGTGGTGTGAATTTCGTTATCAGCACAGTATCCGCATACTATACGTATACAGCCCAATTTTTCCAAAGTACAATTCAGTTTTTACATGTATGCTAGGGTAGGCGTGAAACAAATTTTGTCATCAGCACAGTATGTGCATACTTTACACGTGCAGCCCGAATTTTTAACCACGCAGTGCAAACACTGGAAGAGATTGAATCTTTTTAGTGCACACATTTCCACTGCTTGTGTTTGCAATTGGCAGTATACTTTCGACTGTATACTTCTATAGTTGCGACTGTGCTGAAGTGCTGTAAAAAAAGCATACTGTGGAATTTATACTGACACCTATTGGCAGGATGCAGAATCACACCGATTTCAGTTACAAGAAATGCAATCAACTTTGCAATCAAATATTAGTTGTATAGTAAGACTATTCCGACAGTGTCCAATAACAAGGATTGTACCAATTCGGCTGCTCATGTCACGTGATCGCAACATGTCTGTCCCCATGAAGGCAATGGACTCCATTGAAAATAATCAGCTTTTATTGACGTGACTGGAGTCTATCTCTTGTCAGAGTACATAGTTTTAAACTTATTTATTTTTAAAGCTATTTTTTTATCTTTATGTGTGAAACGTTTTTAATGAGGGAAACGATTAAGTACGTACAGCTTTTGATTACATGACAACATAATCACTAAGTCTGCTTCAAAGTGTGCACACAGACTTATAATAGCCAAATTAAATTACTGCCTTCTTGTACCAGCCGCATTACGTCAGTGAAGACGTGAAATGCCTCAAATACAAGAATGCAAAGAGATAGTTTGTTTCCAGACTGAAGGGCTGTACTGGAAATGCGACATGACTCGAGTAGGCTACTAGACACAGTATGAGCTATAGGGGACAACTCGATCAAGGTCAGCGTGCTGCAAAGTGTTACTGCGGACTTTTCCCCTTTTTTTTATCGCAATAAAAGCGCGTAATACTCATTTATATGCAACGAATAAGCTAGAGTCTACGAATTTAAATGTTAGGCACTAAATAAAATCTGCCAAGTCGTGTTCTCGTGCTGTTAGTAGTCGCACAAACTATCAGAACACACTGAGCTATTTACAGTGCAAAGTTTTTACTGCTGAGCGTAACATGGAAATATTGGTAGCGACAGCGGACATTTGCCAGTGACGGACTGTATCAGAATAATGATTATCAGACAGGTTTACAACACCACGCGCATTAACATTAAAGGTCTACGCTCGCACAAAATAAAGGAGCATTGCGTTGCTGGGTGCCGGTTGGATGAACACTTACCAGTATTTCAGAGAGCATTGCTGGTGCCTCGAAGCCAACCAAAGAAACTCTTGAGCAAACAGTAAATCCGATATTTACATATAGTATCACATATATTACAGTACTGTGTATTATCCTACACGCCGATTTAAAGAGCAGATGCTCTGCCTATTTGTTGAAGTGGGCTACCTTAGCAATTCTGGTGCTGTATTAAGTACGATAAGGATATGTGACATAAAAATCAATACAACTACTCGATATTTTGAATGAATGGCGGCGCGAGTGCAGTCAGTTGAGCAAACGCGTACGTTTAATCCTTGTTTGATTCGCTCTTCCTTGGACTAGTTCCCCATATTGCTGTTTCGGTTGTCACTGGAAGCCTGAATCCTGTCTTCCGCTAATACAGCTGAGATCCCGGTTACGTATATCCTCGTTCTTTCTCCTCCCTCTCTGCTCTTGCGTCTGCTGTTCTCCGTTACGTCCGCTGCCGCTTCCAATCACGCGTCCTGTCGCCTCCGTCACAAGCGGCCGCAGAGCTTTAAACAATAAGGAGATATTGACCTGCTGTTTTTTATGTATTATCCGAAGCCTTTATTCAGATTCCTTACTTCCCGGGCTATTTTGTGGACTGTTTGAGGGGTAAATGAAACGAAGCGTGGTGTAAACAAAGGCCGTTTAATAACTACCATAATTCGTGACTACGTAAAATAATTCGGCCTTCCCACAGGGTTTCTAAAAACTCTAGCGGAAAAAACGTTGCATTTCATCCTGAACTGTACGTTACGCAGTATTTTTATTATTATTATTTATGAAGGGAACTTAAAACATTTGATACCTTTAAAGTGCTATTTAGTGCCAACCCTGAATTGAATAATACTGACAGCTTTTAACGGAGCTCAGTTGAAGTCATTCACGTACACGCATAGTGCAAAAATTAGTTTAAGGGGAAAATAATAATAATAATTATAATAATAGCCTAATAATAATTCATGTTAAAATGAACGAATTCCACAATAAATCCTGTGAACTGGTGAACTGAAGTTACCGTTGCCTATATGGAGGCAAATTATGTTTAATGGGACATGTATTTTACAGTAAAAAAAACTGTTTAAAAACACTGTCACATTATAATTTACAGTGAAAAACAGTACATTGACGTTCCCAGAAGTTTCTGCGTGACGCATCACCTTTGGTTATGTTTCTTATTTTGTTATCTGCTATGTAAACCAGGCTGCTTTATGTTACATTATATTTCATGTTTATGGCGTTATTCCACGTGTAGGCCTATTAGCCTAACTGGAAGTGTTTTTGTGAGCAAGTCTGTGAGATGCCCATATTTATTACTCACTGTTCAAACCCCATTTTAATATCATCATGTGGCCTTTTGTTTTACTACTTGTTTTAGAAGTGCTCATGTTTTATCATATCAGCTGATGATATAAGCTAAATATAGCCTGTGGTCCAAACACCTCCAGTTGAGAAAAAACGAGTCCGTAGTAACGCGACAGAATGCGTTTGTCCCATAGAAGCTCGAACGGCATAGCTGCAAATCAAGCGTCGCTTTAGATGGCATGGAAAATGTCAGTCTGCTCGGTCTTGTGACACTGACCCAACTCGCTGCTCTAGGCCTCCCATAGTCAGCTGGTTCATACAACAGTTTTGGGCTGCGAGCCAGCGGTGCAGAGTTCACATTGACTGCGGAGAGAAAGAAGGAGAGACTACAATCCGCGTAACCTGATCCCAGCTCAGGGCTGAGAGAAAGAGAGCCTTGCGTCTCAAAGCCGCGCAATGCTGTAACGGAGAAGAGTCCCGTGTTAAGGAAATTATTAGGCTATTAGTGGTCTATTTTAGGAATGCGCCTCAGACTGCGTGACTGAAACCTGTCCGTTTTGTAAAAATAACAGAAATGAGACATTCATAAGAACACTAATAAGCACAAAATACATGTACGTGTGGTGGGTGGGTGTAGAAGCAACGGCGTGCTGCACGATACAGGATTAAAGAAGAAACAGGAAGCGCTAGTGTTCCCGTTGTCATTGAGAACGCACACGCGACCTTGAATTCAAGGTCATTCCCCGACGCAGCCTGCGCTGCATTTCAGCCGAGCTGCACGCTGGTGCATTCTGTCTGAAGCTCTTCACACCGAGCTCCTTTACGGCACGTTTCCTCACATGGACTCATTTGAACGGTTCTGTCACGGTTTGGTAGATGTTTTACAACTTTTAAAGAGTATCATGAGATCTTTTCCGCCCGAGGCTTTTGTGTAAATTTGGTTTATGGCTCTACCACAAAAGGTCACACCTCGGTGCTCTGGAATGCTGACAGAGGTCATGACCCCAGAAACAGGTGGGAACAACTACAGAAACACTTATAGCCTCAAAAAGACAACAGCTGGGAGGTGAAGGATATGGAGTAAAAGGACACTGAATCATTCTCATGTTAAACAATCCAGGACTCCTTTCTCTTTTTAACAAACTCCCAATGAAACGTACACAAAATCATTGTGACCTAAGAGATATGGTGACTGCAAAAAAAAAAAAAAAATTGATTCATTTTCATCCAAAATGCACTGGCTTAATTCCCACTGATACTGATAAAACCGGTTATTTTAAACATGAGAGGAACTTTTAGTGAGGTAATTAAGAAATAACATTTGTAGTTGTAGTCTATTTATGGTAACAGCGGTTTTAGGTATAAAGTAGCCTATTAAGTCATAAAAGACTGTCATTCATAATATATAACTTGATGATGGCACGCGTATACCGTAACATAATCTGTTTTTGATTACAAACCCATCTCGATTTGAATGCAGCACAAAACATTTTTCATATTCGTTTAGGATAGATTAGAGTGGTCTATAATGAAACGCTCAAAAAAAGCGAATGGTGTAATTGCATCATAGTGGACGCATCCAGACGCACCGCAGCGCCATCTCGCGGTGATGTGATTATGCAGCAGATAAATGGATTGTGCCAGTCTGCCGACTAGTGACGTCTTTGTACAGAGTGTCCTCGCGCACAAGGTCATATGTTTCCGTCCACGAAAGTTGAGACATCCGAGCATGTGGCCCAGGTTAAGCTCCTGTAGTGAAGCAACAATGCGATAACAGTTTGCAGTGATGCCAAGATAATCAGTGAGAAATACAAAAAGCAGAGAATAATAATGCAATAAGGAGTGTAAAACTCAAGGTATTAAACATTTTTAATTTCTTTATCACATATTAGTCACGAGTATTCAAGGTTGTCAGATTATTTTGTCATTTTCATGGTGCAACATTAGGTGTTTAATACACGAGTTGCACAATTTGAGTTGAATTACTGAAATAAATGAACTTTTCCATGACATTCTAATTTATTAAGATACACCTGTATTTATGATGTCAGATAATAGCATAATTCATGTTTGTGTTTATTTTTGGATTTATTTCAGGGAAGAGGAATTTTATAACAGCCCCATTTCTGTTGCTGTTGATCAACATAAATATAATAGTGAAGTCACTTAATTTCACATGAAAGCAGTATGTTCTGTGAATTTAAAAGCCAGAACATCATAATCACCATATTTATAGAGTTTAAATGGTAGACTTATTGCCTGACTGATTGTTTCTTATACAGTTCAGTGAGGTTTTGTGCACAAAGGAAGTATTGTTTTTAATTAAAAATAAAAATAGATGAATAATTAAATAAACAAATCTGTGTAATTAAAGCGATTGGGGACTACAATTTTCAACAAAGTCTTTAGGATCATGTCTGAATTAACTGAAAAGATCTGTCAATTGCAGTGAAGTGTTATTTCAGCACATCACAGGGTTTAAAGGTAAGCTTTCAGCACAGGATTATGGCAGCCTCACCCTCTGAGTCAGATTGCATTTGTTTCCTCCACAGTATCTCAAGATGTTTCAGCTGCCATCATGATGCAAGTTTTTTTATTTTATTTTATTTTTTATTGTTTGTTCTTAATTACACAGCTGTTTCATGTAGGTTCTGTTAGGCCTGTTTCACACTGCCAACAAAAGCAGTGTGTGTTCATTTCAGAGGCCATATTAAGGTTAAAGATGATCAAAATAAACCTATTCTTCTAGCTGAATTTAGAGAACATGATGAAAATGCATTATAAACCAGTTTATCAACATGATCTTTTAAAGACTTTTATGCAGTAACTATTATGAACTATAGCTATTGTTTGAAAAAAAAAAAGATTATTATGCAAGTTACACACAGTGAATGGCACATAAACACTTTCGGTTTAGTAAATCTGGCTGTCTATCTGCAGTATATATTCTGCATATGGGTTTTGAAACATTCTGTGTAGATTAATTAGCATTTATATGTAGATGTGAGCATCCTTCCTATGTAAATGAAGTTTGTAATAATTATCAGTGACTCTGATGAGTATTAACTTACTCCTGTCCTGATAAGCATTTTATATTATTCTGCTACCAATTTTATTATATCATTTGTATTATTACACTTACATTACTGTGGTCGTTATGATTTTTTTTCATGTGTTTGAACAAAGTCATATGGTTTCCAAGAGTGCTGCATTTATTTGATCAAAAATACAGTAAAACAATAATGTTCAATATTTAATAACTTTTCCATTTTAATATATTTATGTGATTGTAAAGCTGAATTTTCAGCATCATTACTCCAGTCTTCAGAGTCGCACGATCAATCAGAAATCATTCTTATATGCTGATTTGATGCTCAAGGATCATTTCTTATTATTATCAATGTGGAAAACAGTTGTGCTGCTTAATATTTTTGTGGAAACCAAGATTCTTTGATAATTTGATAATTCAGTGTCACTTTTGATCATTTTAATGCAGCCTTGCTGAATAAAAGCAGGCCTATTTATTTCTTTTTTAAAAATCGTACTGACCCCAAACCTGAACTCTTACCACTTATTTACACTGTTTAAGCATCTTGTTGTCATGCCTAATGCTGCTGTTTTAGTCTAATTCTGAAACAAACAAACAAATTCAGACTTATTTGTAGTGGGTGAGGCTGACATAACCTTATGCTAGAAGCTTTTCAGGTTTTTTCAAGTGGTCTGTGTTGATTTTAACCCTAACCTAGGGCTGCACGATTAATCGAAATTAAATCGCAAAGGCGATAAATCGCGAATAGGCAGAAGCTACAATTGCATGTTTAGGAATTATAATTTCAAAAGATGAAGATAGAATAGAATTGTTAAATATTGATAGAAATATTGAAAAATGTAGATCCAATCTAAACTTTTGGTTACAGAGGGACATCACAATATTCAGGAGAATATTATTAAAGGGGTCATATGATGCTTTTTTAAAGATCATTATTTTGTGTATTTGGTGTAACAGAATATGTTGACATGCTTTAATGTTCAAAAAACACATTATTTTTCAAATACTGTACATTATTGCAGGTCCTCTATGCTCCGCCTCTCTCAAACGCTTCGATTTCTACAAAGTCCCTAAAGAAAAACTTGAAATCGCATCATATGACCCCTTTAACAAAAATAGAGAGTCTTTCTAGGTTAATTTACCCAGGGTCTTCATTGCCGATTTCTACCAGAAAGATAAAAGCTATTAATAAATTCAATTTTGATTTCATCTGGAGAAAGAAATATCACTACATTCGGAAAAATGATATAATAAAGGAA